ATTCGGATATGTGCGCACTGGTTGTGATATAACTATCTTATTGCTAATGTCGCCTTCTTTGATAACTTTTTGGAAAATAAACATGTTTGTTGTTTTTATCTTTTGTGTATTCACTGTATTGTATTGAACGCTATATCAACCAATGGTTGAATATTATCTATAGCATTGTTTCAAAGCATCTCTACCCTTACCCACTGTTTATTCAAATTCTCTACAACTAGATCAACTCCAATAAACAATGGATACTTATGAGCCTAACACAAAAGAGAAGCAAATAATTTCAGAATTGAATTAAAAACGAAGATAATTGTACGTTTAATTCACAAATACATCATTTATTAACGACCACGGTTTTGCCAGTAAAGGCATCATCATGTACCAGAAGAAGAAATTAACTTGTTTTTGATGATGAAAAATAAATTGAAACTCGAATGTTAAACATAAAGAAAATGCAAATTTCGCTTTAGTATAAAACGAAATTGAAATGTAGATTAAAGGATTTCATTGACTCTTCTACTATCATTAACACGATTTATTATGTTTTGATTATCTAGAAATCTCTGAAGACTACTCCACCGGAAACACCAGGAGACAAAAACGCTCTAATATTTCTTCTTGTGGGGTTCTCTCGGTGCGGAATCATTTTCTGGTGCATTAACGTAAGTGATAACCACGTGTAAAATGTAATATTAATAAAGCGCCATCTATACGTTTAAAAATAATAAAAAAAATTATAAAAATATCTTCAAGAACGTGATGTGACGAAATTGACATCTACGTATTTAAGGATAATATGATAAAAAACGATATGATGATGCAAATTGATAATAATAATTGAATGTAACGAGATTATTACAGTCATTAAAGCAATATCTACTTATTCAAAAAGGAGGCAATGAGAACGATAGCTACCTGTTCACAACATAGCGTGATGAGGGTGCCATCTACCGGTTTAAAAATAATATAGAAGAAACGGTGTTTAAATATAAAAACAAAATGACAAAAGATAGTGCGGAACTAATACGCAGAGTGATGAAAGCGACATCTATCATTTTACCGTAATAGATCGGGACGCTATTTAGGGTAAAAACATGAAGTGAAGTAGAACGTACAGCGCCATCTATTAAACGGGAAGAAGATTTGCCTATTTCAAAAAACGTTGATTACAATCGTTTTAAATATACTGACAATGAATGAAAGATATTTTATTGTAGCGTTACATTTATACGACAGTGTACAAGGTACAGAATTCAGTTGTAACCCTTATTAAATCAGACAATATCTAGATACATCGTGTTCTCGATGTAATAAGTCTCTTATATAAGGAAAAGGTGAAGTCAAGAAATCTCATATTTATTTCACAATGATTATATTTACTTATTTATCTATTTATTAAAGTAGTTACATATTATAATATAAGCCTACTGGCTTAGGTGCTCGAGTCTCAATCTGCGGGTCGCAAATTCGAGTATCATCACCAAACATGCTCGCCTTTTCAGCCGTTGAAATGTAATGGCCAATCTCACTTTTCGTTGTTAAAGACTAGTCCAAGAGTTGGTGGTGGGTGATGTTGACTAGCTGCCTTCCCTTTATTCTATCACTTGTAAACTAGGTTCTGCTAGCGCAGATAGCCCTCGAGTAGCTTTACGCGAAATTCAAGAAACAAATAAAAAGATGAGCTCAATTTGGGACCTTACAATTACTGCCGTAATTTAACATGCAGCGCCACCTATAAGAAAATGTGAATTTATTAATTTTTTATCATAATTTTATTGCTCGAGTGAAATATTTCTTGTTCGAAATTAAACTAAGAAAATGTATTAGTTTGTGGGTTTTAATTCTTTATACGTTTATTAAATTATTTAATAATCTCAGTATTTAAACTATATTAATTTTGTAATATTATTATTTGTCCAATTTCTCCAGGCAACATTTTTAGTCTTAGTGTTCCGGAGGACACTAACCACCAATGACGACAAAGTTTCGGAAGACGACGTATCGGTTAGTAAACAATACTTCTTAACTTAATAGGTTTCATATCACAGTGTTATGTCATCAATATTTTACTTCTACGTTATATTACACGACAAAATAGTAATGCTGAAATTACACAAGGGCTTTATCTACGTTGAAATACTTTTATTTGTATTGTTGCCTGATGAAGACTCCAGTGAGAGGCCGAAAGCTCGCGAATAAGAGAACTGTATTTTAACGTAGTCCTTGTATGATTCTACATATTAATTTGCTCCCCAGTGGCACAGCGGCATGTCTGCGGACGTACAACGCTAGAAACCGGGTTTCGATACCCGTGGTGGGCAGAGCACAGATAGCCCTTTGTGTAGCTTTGCACTTAACTACAGACAAACTATATATTAATTTATCTACGTTATGAGTATTAAAAATTAAATAGTAACGCTGTCGTGTACTGAATTAATTAGGATGAATAATAAAAAAAAAGATCTATAGTTTATTAGGCTTTCAAAAAGTAAATTTTGGAAACATTTTTATAAACGTACTGATTCTGTTATGGATTACCATAAGATAAAACAAATGATTGGTTAATTATAGGACAGCGACCTAGATGGCTACGAGCAGTATCCATCACCACGTCAAACATCAAACGTTTCGAGACAAAAGAACAACGTACACTGTCCGGTAAGACGTTCAGTTTCGTTGTTCGAGGTCAGCAGCCATGATGCACGTGGTTCGAACTTGAGGGAGTTACGTCACGGTGATCGTGGCTTTCGAAACGCTGGTTTTGAGCCAGACACCTATAGCTTGATCCGTGAGTAGATATTTTATCTAGAACAATAATACGTGGTGAAAATGTTCTTAGAGTCGAAGTAACAACTTGAAAATAACCTATCTCTAATAAAAAACAGGTGGCGACGGTGTTCTTCTCTTTAAAAAAATCACTTACATATTTTATTATGTAGCATTGTGTTTAAAACCAACCAAATCAAAACACAGTTTAGTTAATTGTAATAGATCCGTAACACAGGTTAACTAACAGTAATAGATCCGTAACACAGACTAACTAACAGTAATAGATCCGTAACACAGGTTAACTAACAGTAATAGATCCGTAACACAGGTTAACTAACAGTAATAGATCCGTAACACAGGTTAACTAACAGTGATAGATCCATAACACAGGCTAACTAACAGTAATAGTTCCATAACACAGACTAACTAACAGTAATAGTTCCATAACACAGACTAACTAACAGTAATAGTTTTAGTGACACGTGAATGTTTCCATCTTGATCGGCCTTTCTTACAGATATATTATCACAAAATTCAACAACTATAACGTGTTAATGTTATTATTTCTAGGGTTGGTCTACTTATTACGTAATTTCTACAGAGCTCAAGTATTGATACCCCTGATGGGAACATGACAGATAGCTCAATGAGTAGTTTTGCGTTTAACAACAAACAAACAAACTGTTCCCCTGTGGGACAGCGGTAAGTTTACGGACTTTCAAAGCTAAAATCCGGGGTTTGATTCTTCATGACCCAGCTTTAATCGAGTGGCTAAATATTCTCAAAATGGTAATTAATTAACAGATTTCTTTGTTACGTAAATCTTACAAGTGCCCCCTAATGGTATTTCACAAAAACGAATTTTTCATCCTAAGATGAATAACAAATCAGTTAGTATATACATGCGTATAATTGCACTTTTAATCTTTCATATGTAAATAATTAAATATGCTACATTAAAACGATTTTACATGTGCAAGTTAGCAAGTCACGTGACAACCACAGCCGATATAAAGTGTGAGAATTCATGAAGGCAAAAATAAGTGGCAGAAGCCGCCAACCAAAGTATGAAACATAATAAAGAAAGGTTTTCTTATAGAAAGGCGACACAAGTCACGTATATATGTATGTTGCTTTCAAGTCATATTATTTGAACCATCGCATACTTCAAGGTGTTTAAGATTGAAATAGGTATTCATGTTATTCCACACGAAGATATACCGGTCAAGTCACCTTACGGATTTCTTTGCGATCAGATTGTTGAAACGGACACTGGAAAATCCTCCTCCTCCTCGAACACTAGATGGCTTATGGAAAGCACGAAGAGAGCGTTGGTGTGCTTTGGACACGAAAGACTTGCGATGGGGCCTTTTGCAATAGAAACTCTGCTTCAGGGTTATTATCAAGATGTACGATTATTAAATAGAACATGACCGGGCGTGTTCAAGTTCGAAAATCGTTTTAAATATAACGTACTCAATCTTAATGGTGTAAATTATTTTATTTTTATATAAATAAAAACTAGATATCGCAATACATTAAATTCAAGTTTAAGCTTTTCTGGTGTATCGCTGTCTTAATTTTAATAAGATAATTATTCAGTATTGAATATTTAATTTTAAATCTTTAGTGAGGTCTTGCTTTTAGAAGACATGCTAGAAGACTTGGAGGCTTCACCCACCTAATGAAAGACAATATTTAGATTTGCTAGTACAACTTTCCTTCAGGGGGTCACCTTTAAATAACAATAACAACAGAAAACGTGCAAACAAATCAAAACTTGTTTGTTTCAGGATTTCCGGCAAAACTACACAAAAAACTGTTTGCGCATAGCGACCTCTAGTTTTGTACTGATAAACTAGAGGGAAGGCAACACTCTTGGCTACCCCTATGCGACCGAATAGAGAGAGAGAGAGATTTGATGGTCGCTCTTAAAATACACATACGGCCCCTAAAATGAGACTAGCGATTTTTTTTACTGCAACCAGACAAGAACCACGAATCCTTGGATTCACATTCCGGATACGCTAACCACTAAGGCCACGCCTGGACAGGAATCAAAATTCTCTAAACTGGCTGGTGACCAAAGCACGTTTGGCCTTTCCAAGACGAATCATTTTTCCAGATCGTAAACGTTTTTAAATCAAGTTTCTGAAACCGTTTTATAACCGTTTGATTTCTTTGACTGTTTTTAAAGTGATTTATTCATATTTCTCTTGTAGGACTTCCACGAGTCTTCCAAACTCGATGAGGGGCACGAAGGGATTCGTTCATCAAAAGTTAACAGAAAACTTACGATGAATATACAGAAATAAAAGTATTGGTTCTATAAAGTTTTTGTCCTATAGCTAAAATCTAAAACGTCAAATTAAAATAAAATTACATTACTTCGAAAGTTTTGACTGTGAACATTATAATACGCACGCGCAATCTCACGAACCGAAGTCAAATCTTCTCATTGTCAATGTACGTATTCTTTAAAACTCTGACGAATAATCTGGAAATGTACGCTTCTGGGTGATTTATATTTCTAATTTATTTGAACGGGTTTATTATTCTCCTTAATTAAATGATTGGTAGACAAACTTTTGTAAGGCCTAGAAAAATACGTTTATATCTTGAAGGTGTCGATTGGAAGTTGATAAATCAGTACATGTGTGGATAGAATAAGATATCGTAGAAAGTTTAAAAAATTCAGTACAAGGTTATTCAAGAGTCATGCCCCCTTTAGGAGTAGGTACACGGAAGTGGTTAAACTGTTATAGATGTCATTCTTGTTGCCAACCGCCGGACAAAACGTGGAACATTTGTGACGCTAAGTTCAGACGGTGTGGTAAACGTGCTAACATTTGTGACGCTAAATTCAGACGGTGTGGTAAACGCGTGGAACATTTGTGATACTAAGTTCAGACGGTGTGGTAAACGCGTGGAACATTTGTGATGCTAAGTTCAGACGGTGTGGTAAACGCGTGGAACATTTGTGATACTAAGATCAGACGGTGTGGTAAACGTGCTAACATTTGTAATGCTAAGATCAGACGGTGTGGTAAACGCGTGGAACATTTGTGATACTAAGTTCAGACGGTGTGGTAAACGCGTGGAACATTTGTGATGCTAAGATCAGACGGTGTGGTAAACGCGTGGAACATTTGTGATGCTAAGATCAGACGGTGTGGTAAACGTGCTAACATTTGTGAAGCTAAGTTCAGACGGTGTGCTAAACGTGCTAACATTTGTGATGCTAAGATCAGACGGCGTGGTAAACGCGTGGAACATTTGTGATGCTAAGATCAGACGGTGTGGTAAACGTGCTAACATTTGTAATGCTAAGATCAGACGGTGTGGTAAACGCGTGGAACATTTGTGATGCTAAGTTCAGACGGTGTAGTAAACGCGTGGAACATTTGTGATGCTACAGTTTAGCAATTTTCGACTGCTCCCACATGGGGTGTAACTTTTGATTAATCTTGTAGTAGATGAACTTACAAAGATCCCTAGTGTCCAGCGTCAACAACTTTGACTATAGTAATTGTTCTGTACTATTCCTGATCATACTTAACTTACATTTCTAAAAACTCTGTATCTTATAGAGATAATTATTCATTTTTAAGTACTGAATTCAATGGTTTCTAATAATGTAAGAATAATTTATATAACCCAAATAAAAACATTCTGTTATGTTAATATAATTCATTTAAAAGATCGGTATAAGTATCTTATAACTTGTTCTTATTAACATTTGGAATATTTATCCGTCTGAGAAATTATTCTTTTTTTGAATTAAACAGGAAATCGTGACTTATAAACAATTAGTAAATTTTAATTAGATAAATGGTCATAGAAATATTCAATTCAGATAATAAGAATTCTTTCTGGATATGTTGAAAAAGGTCACTCTCTGATTGCTTTAATGCAAGTTGTTTTTAAGGGCATGTTGTATTTTTATGCAATAAAGTATGTTTGATAAGTGCAAAATATGGGGATATTACACTTACACTTTTCACACTTTTTGAGATCTTGCGAGTTATTTAACATTTAGCTAACAAAAGATTTATATTTAGGCCTATTTTACGTTTACTGTTATCAAAATTTTGTTTCGTTTTAACCATAATTAAAAAAAATTATTATTTTCCCAAGATCAGTCAGGTCATATATATATATTTGAAACCCAAAATTGTTGGTTTCATGCTTAGCACCTTAACACTATTGCTTTTATGTATATTACAAAACGATTAACAGCGTATTGGTGTTAGTTATCATGAGAATCCTGGCCTGTCTATAGTATTTATTTAATAAACCTACAAAACATAATTTAAATTGAGTAGTGGCATACATATAGGTCTGGTGAGGGAACTGCGAAAAGCCCATCTAATACACACC